TTTCCTGGGCATCAACAGGTGCGTGGGTACAACGTAGAGAGAGGCCCTAAATGAATCTGAACAATGACCTTCATTGCAGAGTAATCTTACTCTCTTTTCTTGTTTTGTTTTAAGATAAAGTATTTATTTATTTATTTATTCCCTTTTGGTTTTTTGAGACAGGGCTTCTCTGTGAAACCGTCTTGGCTATCCAGAAACTCACTCTACAGGCTAGGATCAAACTTAAAAGAGATCCACCTGCCTCTGCCTCCCAAGTGCTGGGATTAAAGGCGTGCACCACCACCACCCGGGTAATCTTGTTCCTCTTTCCCTCTCTAAACTACCAGTTTCTTTATTGAGCTTCTGATTGGTTTGCTGGGAGAGCACAAGGTGAATGGCTTCCTGTAGGGGGCAGAAGAGGTAGAGTGGTTGTTAAATGTTTCTTGTCTCATCTCAGCACATGGTGCCCCAGCTGCCAAGGGTACACTGCATACTAGAGGCTGTGACTCACAGAGAAGCTCAGGGTGCGTGGCTTTGTCACGCTGCTGTAGGAAGTAGCCAAGACTGACTTTTCCATCCTGTGTTCTTCTCGACCTGAATCTGTTCCATGGGCAGGCCCCAGAACAGGGCATCCTAACAGAGCTGTGGAGTATCGTTGGGAGGTCGCTTGGAGAGGGCTCTGCTGTATTAGAGCTGAGGGGTTGGTTGTTTACAGTCGGAAAGGCTATGTTTTTGCTTGGGAGGGGTTAGACTTCTAATCTGGCCTATGGGAATATTGCTGACATTTTCAAAGAGAGTGGCTAATTGAATCATGAATGTAAAATAAAAGCTAGTTTTTTGGTAAACAGGTAAAAAGTTTTTGTGGCCCAATAAACCTCTACACTGATGCAAAAATCCAAATCAGACCAAATCAAACCACATTAGAAAAAGCCCAGGTTTAATGGATACTAAATGTTCCTGTGTGGCCTTCCAGCCCCCCAGGGATGGAGACAAAAAGGAAGCCCGGAAAAACACATGTTCATTCCCTGGGGGTCAAAACTGACCATCTCAACCTTTAGAAAAATGTGGAGAATTGGAACAACCCGGACCAGCACCCTAAAAGTGCCCATGACTGCGATCTGTCGCAAAGCAACGTGTCGGGGTGACAGACAACTCCAGCGGCTCTCACTCTACCCGGAACTTCGTAGCTGTTCGTCTTGAATCACATACAATCATTCACTTATCCAGGGAGCCAATATGAACTCCCTACTCTGTGACCGGCTCTGGTGAAGTCCAGTTATCACAACAGCTTTCTGCCGCTGTTGCAGAAAATCTCGAGATAAGCAAGTTAAAGGAACCAAACTTTCTTTCTTCCCGTGGCTCTGGGTGTTTCCGTCTATGATGATCAGTTAGGTCAATTTCTTTGGGGCTTGAGGGGACAGTACATGATGGCAGGAAGTCGGTGTCATAGCAATGCTGCTCACACCATAGCAGTCAGGAAGCATACACACACACACACACACACACACACACACACACACAAAGAGTGAGAGAGGAAGTGAAGGACCAGGGTCCCAATATCCCCTGCAAAGGTGTACCCCAGTGTGGTGGTTTAAATAAGAATGGCCCCCATAGGCTCATATATTTGCATATGCTACTTGACAAGCATTAGAAAGTGTGGCTTTATTGGAATAGGTGTGGCCTTGTTGAAGGAGGTGTGTCACTAGGGGTGGGCTTTGAGGTTTCAAAAACCCAAACCATGCCCAGGGTTGCTCTCCTCCCTGCTGCCTGTGGTTCCTGATCTAGAACTCTCAGCTACCTCTCCAGCACCATGGCTGCCTGCATGTCGCCAAGCTTCCTGCCACAATGACAATGGATAAAACCCCTGAACTATAAGAAATCCTCAATTAAATGTTTTCTCTTATAAGAGTTTCCATGGTCTAAGACAGCTAGTAACTTCCTTCCACTGGGTCCACCTCCAAACGTTCCCATCACCTCCCAGTCGCGTCACAGCTAGTGACCAAGCCTTTATACGAAGGAGACTTTGAAGACTATTTCATATAAAAACCACAGTATCGACCTTCAGAAGAACCTTCCCGATGAGCAAACAATTGTTTTCAATGTGAAGGACAAAGAAAATGTATTCTTATAATAAAACAGGTTTTTTTTTTGCCTTCAAGACGATCCTAGACCTGAGTTTCTCTTCCACATTTAGTAAGAGTCAGCAGCTATCAAAGTCCCATAAAATGATTATAAATGGTACCCATTTATTGTCAGACACTAAATAATGGGAAGCAGTAGTAAGTATCAGCCATGTAGCATTTTATGTGTGCAAAGTGCCTTAGCATCATATTTTATGGCTTGTTCTACATAATAGTGGCGTGGGTGATGGGCTGGAACAGCCTCTCAGGTAGAGTTGGGAAATGGTAGCAATCACAGGCTCATCAGTGTCCTTTTTAAATGCTCTTTGCCTCGGGGCTTGAATAAAGGTCATCGCATTTTTAAAGTTTCTTACTATTTGTATCCTGCATATTCAGGGTTGGTTCTGTTGGTCTTTTTTATAATGATGCAGCTTCAAAACTTGAGCCCTGAAGTGTGCAGGCCACATCCGTGAGCAGCTGCCAGGATGAGCCACAGCAGACTTGACCCACCCCTTTTAGCCTTCCCCCGATCAATAGCTCTTACCACCGTGGCACTGGAATCCCATCTCACCCTTCCCATCACTTTCCTTCTTGCTCAAGGGCGGCCAAAGATGCCCTGCTGTCTCTACCTCCTTTTCTTACAAGAAAGTGATCCTTGGGGTGGTCATGTGTGCTTCTCACTCCTCTCTTTTGACCCAGATTGCTCGGGGACCGCTTTAGTGAAGAATCAGCTCTCCCCCGTCATTATTTTCTCCTGAAAATCTACAGCTTCAGAGTATCAGGAGTTAAGATCAGATCACGTGGCACTCTTTGCTTTCCTCTTTCTAATCTAATCCTTCAAGCATGTATTCTTTGTTTGTTTGTTTTGAGACAGGGTTTCACTGTGTAACCCTGGCTGTCCTGGAACTCACTCCAAAGACCAGGCTGACCTCAAACTCACAGAGATACGCCTGCTTCTGTCCCCCACCCCCTATTCCGGGATCAAAGTAGTGCACCACCACCACCACCACCCGACCCGGCCCAAGCATGTATTCTTTCTTAAACATTGTGTTCATGCTGAGGACTTAAAGGGACTAGTCCCCACCCATGAGAACACAGTCTAGTGGGGAAAACCTAGAAAGGTCAGTCAGTCACAGCTGTGGGCATTATGAGTGCCCTGGAGGTGGCTGCACAGAGGGCGGACAGCTGCCCTGGGTCTGAGGGGTCATGTGAATCCTCAGACACTTGCAGCCTTACGGCTCAGTTCTTTGTCATTAGACTGGAAATGACAATGTGCTCGAGAGAGACTTGGGATCTGAAGAGCTAAGGACAGTGCCTTGGGATGGAGGCCATACTGCATAGCGCTGCTTTTCAATGAAGGAAAGAGGCATTCTTTGTATCTGGCCATGACACAAGCTCGTATCATATCCTGAGCTAAGTACTCCCTTTGGAGCACCTGAGCAGCACATCTCCTGACATGTGGCGAGTAGCCGGACAGGACTCAGACTCAGAGAAAGTATCAGTCCCTCTCACGCAGGCTGAAGGATCCAGATGACAAATTCCACAGCTAGACTCAGCGCTGAGGTGGGGCGGGGGGTTTGTGTGTCAGGAAATGTCTTTTTATTTAATTTGGTTTGTGGCTTTTGCAAGACATTTGACCGCTTTGAGCGTCTGTCTCATTTATCATGCCTGCCCCACTTACCCAGCAGAGGATGGAATCATACATATTGTACGTAGTTGAACAGTTTAACACATACATAAATAAAGTCCACGACAGTGTCTGATGTTTCTGTGTGTCTCAAAGTGTCCCCTCTTTTGCCTCCCACTATCAGACATCACCCACAATGCCTTATTATTTGATTGATAGGCTACTCACGTGGCCATGCTGAGCCGTTCCAGGAGCTGGTCCATGTTGTTACCTAAAATCTTCCAAAACTGAAACGACCCCTTCTACTTTAAGGCTATGAAGCCCGTGTTCCACGAGTGTATTCTGAGCCCAATATGAGTGGAAAACTATCAGTGAACATCACAGAGCTGAGTTACCGCTGCCCTGTGGCGTTCCCTTCGCAGGGGAGGGCCTGTCTTTCTTCACGCCTGAAGGTAATCTGGCATACCTACTGTGCATACCTGGGGCTCTTTGAACACTAACAGAATTGAATCGCGCCCCTCTCCCCATTCTATATTCTCTTGTCTGCCCCTGGAAGTGTCAAACACAGAGTTTTACACAATTATCTCATTACCACCAACCTTGACCATGCCCTGTCCAAATTTGCTATTATGTAAGCACTCAGTAAATGGTTCTTGAATAAACTATTACAGCTTTTAGAATTCTTAGACTTCTCACCTCAAGTGCCTCTAAATATAATTGTATTGGAGAACCAGGCACCTCAAGGGTTAAGTTAAAAATGTGTTAAGGGCAAGTCCTGTATTAGGTCCTTTTCCCATTGCTACAACACAATACCAGCTAAAAGCAGTTTGAGGGAGGGCCTATGTTGGCTCACAGTTTGGGGAGACAGAGTGTCATTGCAGAGAAGTCATGGGAGCAGGCATTTTAGCCAGCACATTGCCTCCATAGCCAAGTGGCAGAGCCACGAGTGTCCGAACTGCATCTAAAGCATTGAGCCGTTTGTGGAGCAAATGGGCTCAGAGCACAGCTAGGTAATCGGAACAGTAATCTGTGAAGGCTGATGACTAAGGGCGTGAATTTGGATGGTCATTCCACAGAGCATCCATCCAGACAGCAATGAACACCGGTGCTCAGCTCACTTTCTCCTTTCTCTTCCACCAAGAACCTACTCCAGGGAATGACCTCACCTGCTGTAGGAATTCCTACAGCCAGTAGCCTTTAAGTTGCCCGCCCACTTGGGCGTGGCCTCTTATACTATTTATGCCGACGCAAAGCGCAGCACATGTCCGGCTCACTTTTGGAGGAGTGTCTTCCACTTCAATTAAAAGGTCTCGAAAGTGCCTCACAGACACGCTCAAAGGTTTGCCTCCTAGATGGTTCTAGATCTTGTCAGGTTGATAAATTGAGCACCGCAGACTCTCATCTAAGATGACAAGAGTCCTTAGAAGGAGGGCGACGAGGAGGCTCACGTGAACGCACATGGAGTAAAGACCACAGAGGATGTTGTTGACGTGCTCAAGATTCTAGACTCCAGAACTGTGGGAAAATAAAGTTCTGTCGGTTAGAATATGATCTAGTTAAGAATGTACCAAAGTAGTAGCCTTGCTTTAGATCGGCGGCACTTGTTCTCCGGAAGTCACAGTTCCCACCAGGAAATAAAGGATTCGCCTATCACGGGGCTCTGTGGGAAGCATTTTTCTAGCTGTTATTTCTTCTTGGACAACATACAGAACCACCAGAAGCACTCGGTGGCACATGTCCGATAGTAGAAAAAGCACACACTGCAGGAGGGGCACGAACTTCTCTCTGGGTTTTTGTGAGATCTCTTTGGGTCAGACTAGGAGACAATATTCTTTTTCCCCTCTTTAGAGGAATGTGATTTAGTTTATGTCACCAACCCGTGGCCAGTCTACAATAGATTCATGAATGTTCACTTTCCATCCACAATGGGTCCATCTGATGCTTGTCCATTCTTCCTCCTCATCGCTGTTTGCTTTTGCATCAATGGCAAAGGTATTCGGAAAATTAGAAGTGGACCAAGATTTAGCAGTTGAGGAAAAGAAAAATGTCAAAGTATCCTTGCCCAAGTAGCAGCCCCAGGAGTTGGGACAAAGCTAAGAGTTCATCGGTTCATTTTATCATGGTACAGCCTTGAGCTGGATTACCCAGAAGTAATGAGCATCCAACGGATTGTCGCCCGGAGCCCAGGCACCCGGGGGAAACATGCACCTTGAGAAGATGATGGACACAGGCAGACAACTCCCGAGGGGTCAAGGCCTTCGCTCTCTCCACAGCTGGGAGCTCTGTGGGCTTCTCTCCTCTCTCACAGGGCCTCTCACGGGGCCACTTGCCCTGTAGGCAGGCTGACTCTGCACTGCCTGCCATGCAGCCCTGACTAGCGGCTTCAGTCACTAGGTTCTGCTTGGTCCTTTCTTTCATTCATTACCCACAAACCTTACTAAGGATCAGCATTTTGTTTGGTCAGCATGAACTCCAGCCCTCTTCCCAGGTTGGCTGGGGCAAGGATTTTCTGTACCAGTAGGGAGCATGATGCCAGGGCTCCATTCTAGACACTCATCCCCTGCGGGGTTCTTCTTCTAGACTGTAACTGCTACTCTACATTCTGACAGTCCTAGAGGCCCCCTGCTTCTCAGTCTTCCTGTAATGCAGTCTTTGGGGACACTATCGGAGTGACCTGCGCCAGCTCTGGGATCTTCCCTGTCCAAAGCCTGCCAGAGCATCCCCAAAGAACTTAGCCACTTACCAGTCATGCCAAGTCAAAGCCTTGGTTCCCTCCCCCACATTCCCTTCCTGGCCTTCTTCTCACGTTGTTTCTGTTCTACTCAGCACAGGCTTATTTAGCTTTTCCTCCTCTAACTAGAGGAAAAAGCTACAGAACACAGTAGATTCCTGCTTTGTGGCACTGCCACCAGCCTCGGAACCGCACCTAGAGCCCAGAGCCATTTGTTGAGCAAACGGAAGTGCTCAGGGCGCTGCTAGTTAATTGTTAATCTGTGCCAGGCAGGTAACTATGGGGATGGATTTGGATGCTCCTTCCTTGGTGAATCATTTGCGCTTTAAATATTGCAAAGTCATGTAGCGCTCTAGCTCACCTTGTTCTTTGTCTTGAGAAGAAGCATCTTCATGGTCACCGTAGACACAGGGTCCATTTCTACAGCTTTCCATTGGTTCAGCGAGGGTGAAACAGAAAACCGTACCTCTTCTGCAGGAATAGCATCTGCTCACCACTCTTACCCACAGCCACTGTGGTATTTAACACACAACTGCCAATATCTCTGCAGAAACTAGTTTTGTAAAACTTATATTTACTTTCTTCTTGCTATTTTTTGCCAGTGGGTAATATCCAGGCATCTTTTGAAATTACCCTGCTTAAGATTACAAACATAATGCAAAGAATATTGTTTGCAAAAATGTACACAGGAGGGTTGGAGGGATAGTTCAGCGACTAAAGCACCAGCTGCTCTTGCAGAGGCTCAGGGTTGAGTTCCTAGCATCCACATGGCAGCTCACAACCTCTGTAACTCCAGTTCTAGGGAATCCCACTCCCTCTCCTGGCCTCCGTGGGCACTGCCCACACATGGTACAGACACATACATGGAGGCCAACACTCATACAGACAAAGCAAAAATAAATAACTCTTTTTAAAAATTTATACATACATACATATTCAGGAGTAGATGTTTAATAAACGTACAGTCTTATACACATACATATATAAAGAATGAAAGAAAATGCCTATAGACTAGTATTTGGGAATGAAGAAAGTCATATTTTTCATCTCACTGGGGTTTTCATAATAAACATACATTATGTATATGATAAGAAAATTAACAATATATGTTCTTACTTTTTTAAAAACAAACCATTTATTTCACTTTGACATACGTCACATGTCACTTTTCGGACTAGGAAAACACCACAATTGTCTTCTTGAGATGTGATTGTGTCATTTGCTTGGCAGTCTGTTTTCTGTGTCTGATTCAAGCAATTGAAGCAGGCAAACTGAAGTAGGGGCCCAGGGGTGTCCTGTTCCTTATGCACTGCACCCATGCCAAGGACGGAACTAATGTGGGCGTGGCTGGAGAATGACGCCATGCTGTGTAAGCCTTCCTTGAGAAATTGGTCCTGGCATTGGAGTTGCTGTGAAGCCTCTGGAGTCTTATGATCCTGGATCACTAACCTTTTCACGGATCACTGTCACTTCCTCCCTCCTCCTTGAGAGAGGATGTCGTGTCTGCCATCTGGCCCTCTTCCTGGCTCCATCCAGCATGCTGCAGGGTGTTCTCTAAGTCACGGCCACTTCTCCAAAGCAGGGGTTGAGCTTTTCAGCACCTTGGACACAACAGTCCTCATCCACCTGGGCCTCTGCTTTCTGTCATGTATTTGTGGCACTGGTCCAGATGACTGGTAGGAAGTTGACTATGGACACCATTGTGTGCAGGGACCAGCTATCCAGCCTCCAAAGGCCTCTGAGCTAATCCTCCCATAACTAGAAAGATAGATTTCCTTAGGGGAGCTTCCCTGCTCTGTCTGGACCACATCTTCCAGCGTCTAAAACGTCAGCTTGTTGTGACTTAGAGAACATAAAGTGAGAACAAGAGTTCTTTCAGATTAATGAGCCCGGATACCCGGCCGGCACCCTCCCAGGACACTCTGTTTTATAGTTTTCTTCCACCCCTGTGTTTGCATGTCTATGCTGTGCCCAACTCAGGAACCTCTTCCCTAATCTGTCAATTCGAATTTCATCCATCCTTCAAGTCTTCTCTCAGACGTCATTATCCCATGACTTCCTGTCACCACCCGAGTCCACCTTTCCCACTTGTTTAAAAATTCTCGCATGATTTGAGTATATGCAAAAAACTCAAGAACGCCAGTCTCAGACTTAAGCTAAGAAGAGATGTGTTCAGGTATCCGGTAATCATCCTCGCCCCCACTCCAATAAAAACTGTGGCGTGCCCCTTGACCAGCAAGGAAGAACGACCACGAAGTCGAGGATCCTTCTCAAATCACACTTTATTGGAACCTCTTGGTTGAAGGGAGAGCGGGAAGCGAGAGGGAGCAGGATGTGAGAGAGAACAAGAAGTGAAAGAGAACAAGAAGAGAGAAAGAGAAAGAGAGAGAGAGAGAGAGAGAAAGAGAGAGAGAGAGAGAGAGAGAGAGAAAGAGAAAGCAAGAGAGAGCGAAGGCCAAGTGGCATCTGCTTATGTAGGTTGAAGGGACTCGGGTACTGTCCTGATTGGTGAATACCAGTCTGCTGATGCCCAAAGCCTCGGGATTGGCCAGGGACAAGGCTCAATTACGCATGTACAGGCAAAGGGCGCTCAGCCCCACGCGGCAATACCAAATAAGGACTTGTTTACCTCCAAGCTGCAGGACCGCCAGCGCCATCTTGTAATGGCGATAATCGGACGGCTCCTTACAAAAAACAAAGTCGCCCCTGAACCCCAGGGATTCCTGTTCTTTCTATGACTATGTCGCCAGGGTGCCTCCCAGACGCTGCACAGACACAGAGGAACTGCCTCAGAGCTTCTCCGCAAGAGAGGAAAGAGTAGAAGCTGGAGATAACGTGAAGCTCCATCAACAACCCCCACAGGTGAGATCCCATGAGTCTAGACAGAGAGAAAGCCTTCACAGTGTGAAGCAAAACTCGTCCAGCCACACCACTTTCCTTACAATGCGCTCTTGCAGAGGACGGAAGATTCCACGATCCCTGGGCGTAGATGTCCAGCTTTGGGCGTTTCTCCCTGTTTCAGGGCTGGGACAGACACACAGGAGGCATTTGTTTTACCTAGAGAACCAGCATCTCCTGTTTTAAGTCTCAGCTCTCAGCTCTCCCTCACTCCAGGGATTGGGTATCCATTTCTGACACAGGGAAGGCTGCACTGTTCTTCTGCTGTCCTCCAGCTCTGTTCTACCTTCCCAGGGCTGAGCCGACACAGCCTTTGGCTTTTCTATTGTTCACCGCCATCATTTGAGGGTCACCATAGAACACGGATGTGTGTTCAATTGGTCGGTTGTAGATGGAAGGCCCTTGGAGTTTTAAAAAGGCCGAATCCTCAAGTCAGTTTACATTTCTAATGAGATTTCAGTAAAATTATAAAGGGTTTTTTTTAAAACAAAATAATTCCAAATTCGTTTGGAAAACAATATGAAATGTCAAATAAGAGAAAGTTAAAACATGAGAATTGTTGCCAGAGATTTTCTGTCCAGTCTAGTCCCACAGTCATTGGTCCCAAAGGAATACACAGAGGTCTATATTAATTATAAACGGATTGGCCTATTAGCTCAGGTTTCTTATTAATTAATTCTTACATCTTAAATTAGCCCATTATTCTTGTCTGTGTTAGCCACAAGGCTTGGTATCTTTTATCAGTGAGCTGCTCTCATGGGCATCCTCTCAACTGCCGACTCAGCTTTCCTCTTCCCAGAGTTCTCCTGTTCTTATTGCCCCGTTTCTACTTCCTGCCTGGTCGCCCTGCCTATACTTTCTGCCTG